CGTTTAACCCCCCCCCCCCCCAAAAAAAATAGTAAGACCTAAAGTATATGTATTTCGCTCTGTCTCTTGAGCTCGTTTTGCAAAGTAATGCCTTAGAAGGACCGAGGAGAAGGGGGGTTGAGGCGAAGTTTTGGGGGTGCGTGAGCCTGGCCCGAAGACACAGACCCCCTGGTTAATGTGGTGATGCGGGTTAGTGAACGGCGGCGTCATGGCTTACGCAATAGTCAATAAAGTTAGAAAGGTGATAGGTGGGTTGTTACGGTGGTGAGAGTTTGGGAGGGTAATTTGGATGCTAGTGGTTTTTTTTGGGAGGGTTTTTGGGTTTCTGGGTTTTTTTTAGTGTTGGTGTAGTGGCTTCTTTTTTGGGGGGCTCGAATACAGTTTTGTGTATCTTGGTATATGCTTCCCCCTCTCTCACTGTATCTAGTCTCGTATCGAGATATGTTTTTTCTTTCATATTGTTTCCATGTCTGGTTCATCTCGATCATGGTAAGTCTATTTTAGCTGTTGGGTTGCTAACGTGTATTCTTTGTTTTCCCGTTTCGTTTCAGCGTAGTAGTACTAGATGCCTAGTGTTGCAAGACGGAATTGAAACGTACGCTACTTACGCGCAAACCCCTCGCTGGAACATCAAGAGTATATTTCTTCTCTTGACTGTTTTTGTTTTCTTTCGTCCGGCGTACATTCTGTCTTGCATCGTGTTGCGTGATCAGCGATGTGTGTACGCGATGCTATGTCTCGACCGCGTAACATGTTCATTTGCTCTGGCCACACGCATGCAGTGGTTCCTTGTCCCTTAGCCTCAGGACGCGCGAAGATTCTCGGCCTTGGTGCGGCCTTCCATTCATGGTCTTCCATGGCTTTATCTGGAGTTTCCCGTCTTTAATAGGTCATGTGGCCTAGAGAAGATGTGTGCCTTGTCAAGAACTGGACGTTGTACACGTGTGCAGCTTGGTTCATTCAATAACCGAGATGAGCAGTTCCGCGCTCACGGATGTCCGGTCTGCCGCGTAGGCTCTTAATATCTTTCCGTACTAACATCTGGACTAATACATGTCATTTGTGTACTCGGAGAAGAGACCGCCGCGTTCATGGGTGATGCGGGATTACGGGATGCACTGCTCCTTATTGTTGCCGTGCGTTGTCTTAGTCTCTTCCAGTCTCATCTTATCACCTCCAATAAGATGTGCGTTAAATAACGGTCTTGGTAACCCGGAACAAACCTGTATGTGTGAATGGTGACTTCATGGCTGAGTCATCTTTCACACGCGGAAAGGTGCAATAGAAAAAAATCATCCCGGAGATGACTTCGTTAGCTTAGACTGTAGAACCAATGACGTTATGCACTATTGGGGGTGTCCACAGTGTTGATAAAACCGAGAGTATTAAGAACTCGCAAGACTGGGTATTGCTCACAGCTCCATTGCGGGATATCGAATATCTTGGGCAATTTCTCAAGCCGGAATTTGAGATGTTCAGGCTCAGCGCCGAAATGATCAGGAGTTCCCGACATGCCGCTCTCGAGCCTCTCAATGACAACAAGCTTCTTTTCTTGATATGAGACCAAGAGCATATCTATCTCCGACAGCTGAAAGACAGCCTAGGTTACATGATGATAGGTTGCAAGCAAAATAGTCGTTACTAGATTTGAAAGACGAATATCACGGCACTATGCAGCTGAGACCATGAACTCTTCAGTGAAGAAGTGGAGTAACTGGTAAAGACATTGAGCCCCACCGATTTTAGCTGCATCATCATCATACAAGAGTGGCTTATACTCATCATGCAAGAACAAGCTGACAAACTTTCTTGGTAAGCTACCGCTAGTCTTCTCCAAAAGCCTCTCCTTGTATGTTAAACCCCCTCTCGTATAGAAGGCAAAAAGATCGTTCCGACCAAGTCCCTTGGTTGGCTGCGAGACGGGTATCCAAGATTCACGAATGGTCAGCCGGAATCATTCGCTTTCGAAATATGTGGCAGTGTGAGCACTGATGAAATTTGACGTGGTTTTAGCCTCCTGAAAGGTGATCAAGAATCAGTACCTCGGATTGCTCTCTCCTCTCGGAGGGCGTTGAGGATTCAAATTTTGGAGATGATGGTATGGACTGTATTGTAGTATCTTCTTCGCAAACTCTCATGTTGTATCTGAAATTGACAATGGGTAGATTGCATTGGACCTTCTGATCAAGAGCATCTAGCATACAGCTGAGTGAGGACCATGTGCAATGAGAAATATACCATTCAACTTTCGTAGCTCTCTGTTCTTAGTATCTTGGCTAAAAATGAAGAACTTGGTAGCAGACATGGTTCGGTTTTGCTGAGTAGTGTTGGCGATGTGGAATCACTGGGTATGCTCAATAATTTTACACCAAGGATTGGTATATGAAAGGTGAAAGAGTGCTTGATACACTTCGGTTTAGTGTCAATCGCTGACCCCTAGAGTTCACTATAGCCATGTATCAAAGCAACAAGGAGAGTAATCTGCGAAGTACAAAAATGGCGGTATTAAGCATGATAATGTTTCTTTGAAGGGAGTGGTCGTAAAGGAAATATTCGTTACTCTTCTGAAACCTATACGTCAACTCTTTGTACGAACCTGAGTTCAGTGAAGTCTTGTTCACAGCGACGGTAGGAGCACTGGTATATCAGCAAACTGGGAAAAACCAACCTCTTAATCCTTTTAATTGATTCTGATAATTTATTGAATCACACGACTCTCACGATAGCCGTTCTATTGAGGCACTAGATGCTGCATAAAAGGATGTGAATGGCCACGTATAGATCAGCTCTGTGCTGCACAGTCACGTGGTATTTGTGCTGCTATTGGAGAGAACCATTCCCATCAAAATCTAGATATGAAGTTGTCCAGTAATAGAGATGATTCAAGTAAATCTGGGCTCTCGTGGTTACCAGTAAAGCACAATCCAGATCCTGAGAAGGGTTGGTTTGATTGATCCCCAGTCTGCACATCGCACCGGCTTTATTCTAGGGTACCCATATCCTACTCACAATGTGCATCAAGGTATGCGTTCAAGGAGTGTGACCCATAGTCTTGCATTTGGAGAGTTCGTCGTAATCGGGTAACACATCTTGAATCTCATGCTCTCTGCCAAGCAGGTATGCAAGATACAAACATGTTGTCATAAGGCGGAGGCAACACCATATGCTGAACGAATACCACATTAGCCAGAACCTCTTGAGATAAGCCTTTGACGCAACACAGGGCCCTTGGCATGACTTACACAGCAAATACTGTCACGCCATATGAGACCCTCATAACTTCACATCCACCCCGTGTCCGCTTCCACGCGTCCTCACACCCCCGTTCCAGATACCAAGGCCTCAGACTAATGTGCTTAGGATCCGAAAAGTCCCCCGAGTTTTGCATTGCCGCGCTAGATGCATAGAGGCCGACCAGAAGTATGTCATACATCGCATTCGTCATGATACTCGCATGAAGGTCGAGAACGTATCCACTGAGGCAGTTGACTTGAAAGCGCACGACCCATACAAACAGCGTTATGGCAGCGATCACCAGGTGGAACATTATAGAACTGCTTGCTATGTCAGCCTCGAGTACACACACATACTGTATATGAGGCCAATGACGTGAGACTTACCTTTGATCCCAACTCAAGGGTATGGGAGGCGACTCGCGGTAGTTTGCATAGTTGTACACACGCTGCTGGGGATCTGAGTTCCAGCCTTCAGAGCCACCGTTTTGCCATAGCGCGGTACGGAATCCGTCGGGATATGCGGACGCGAAGAGCGAGACGAGTGTGATGGCTAGGACAAGATCCACTAGCATGGCACAAAGGAAGAGCAGGGGCGATATACGGAGCATGGCGACGATGTAGTACGATGGAACTGGGCAAAGGGTCACTATGGATAGATCGATGCCATGATATGAACAGAGTGCTCTTAAGCTGCTTGGATAAGAGTACTTGCGTGGTGTGATGGTGCTACACGTAGCCCAGGGGGAAGAAGGCGGGGGTGTATTAGAGAGTACGTGGGTAAAAAAGAGATATGCCAATAACAATGAAGTCTAAGCCTAAAATCTCTCACATTATGCTGCTGTTGAGGTGTGTAGAAAGCGTGCATATCACAAGGATGGCTTAGCGTGCTTGCCTCTGGTAGGCTCGATAATTAGTAAACGCGAGGATGTGGATTCTAAAGTTGCGCAAATGCCCTCGTCTGGGGACTTGAAGTGGTAACACGCACTTCTTGGGAGCACCAAAAGGCACGAAAACTTCCAATTTCTGACAACAAGAAGCAGTGCGTCAATATGAGCGCATTCGTATTATAGATGTCGGGGAGGCTGGGTAGCACTGGAGACGGTCAAATACGTGACAACCGAAGGCACTTGGCAGATATCTAATATGGAGGAGCACATCATTAACGCATATTGGGTTAAACATTGGATTAGAATTTAGTGTATGCCGATCAATAGCTGATATCGGCGGGTGCATGCTTGAATGAACAAGCGAAAGCACAGAAACTACATGCTGGTGTGCCCCAACTTCTAGCCCGTCGATCACGACTGTTAGTGGGAAATAATGTATGTCGTTGCCGTTTAGTGTCTAGTCTCGCGTAAAATGCATCGTTCCCGAGCCTAAGGATTGCTCCTTGATTTCTTTTTTCCTCACCCCCCAGCACAGCAGAGGGTCGGCTTGGCGCCCTTCTCTTCTATATCACTATCATGCAAATTCCATCTTTCTTCTGAGCGTTTCTGTATGCCATCTGCTCCTCCGAGATTACGACTTCGTTTTGGGATCATCCACGCTGCTCTGTCGCCGTGAATCTTCTGATACTTTCTGGTCCGGACTCTTTAAGAAATACCACGTTGCAAATCCGGCGAAAAAGACCATGTTGGCTTGATATGTGTAGCGGAGGAGGGTGGTGATGTGAGCGTTCGGTCTGGGCACCATGGTGTGTGCTTCTCGGGTTCGGTGGGTAGTTGTGTGAAGAAGTGTTGATCAAGAGTGATGGTTGATGGTTAAGTACGGCAGTGACGTCATCCCCACGCGTTGGTAACGGGTAGATCCGACCGCAGCTGCCGTCGCTGCTGTTGGCACTTGCGGACAATTAGGTTGGCATTCTGCATCCAGTAGCAACGTGCTCCACAAATATCTGTTCTTTTTTCTCAACACCGAAAGGAATCAGGCTCGGGTTTGTATAATCTTGATATAATTATCACTCTAGAATTACAGTCGATCGAGATTGTACTCTTTGGTGATTTTTATCTCGTTCGCGCCTAGAGATCCGGTCCGCTCAAGGGTATCCGAATCGCTGGTCAGAGTGACGAATGCAGCGGCTTGTGGTTTCGAGGCATGCGGCATCCATTGCGAAGGTTCATTCAAATTCGACGTAGAAGAGCCACTGCTCGTCGTCCGGAACTTCAGTCGGCGGAGACCGTGACTTTCGTTGGACGCGATTGGAGAAGCCCTACGCCAGGATGGCAACGAACGAACATTAGGAACACAACAACAGACAATTCCGACCGCAACTTCAATAGGCGAGAAGCAGACACGCCACCAAGACGCACCAATGGGATCTTCGTCCACATCGCCGAATACATTGATTGCGCAATCGATGCGCAGGACGGCGAGGATTGTGCAGCTGTACACTGTCAATAACTCCTACACCGGACTATTGAGCGCTTTGACTTACAAGCATCCGAGGAGGAACAAAATCATGACCGACCACCTCTTCTTGGCTGACAGCTCGGCTGCCAATATAGCTGGTACTGGGGCAAACAGGATGACGCTGTTGAAGAAGACATGTAGCGATCCGATGATAATACAGGATTTTTTGCTCTGCAGCTCACACTTTCCAGGTGGGTGGCACATGCTGATCCAGCCGGCGAGCGACCATATGTACCAAATGGAAATCAGGCCTATGGAACACCAGCAAGCGGTCTGAGCAATGCGTTTTCTCTCATACAGGCGGAGATAGGCTTTGGCGAAAGCGATTTGAACAGTGGCAATGGATGTGGCCCAGCAGATGTCGAGTGCGAATTGTAACTTGAATGCAAGTTAGCGGTGAGTTAGGTGCAATGACTGGCTTCAGACGTACCCGTAGCCAGAAACGATTTACGACGTGGAAATTCTTGGTCGGATCCGCCTTGATCTGATCACTTGTCAAGCCCTCGCCACCTAGAAAGACCAAAACGTAAACTATGGTAACTACGGCGAAGCTCATAGCCTTTGGAATGTCAGCTTGGTTCAACAGCAGCCAACTATTCAGCCTTACCAGAGCAGCCAGCATGAGGACATCCTCGGTCAGCGTGTTGATCCTTCTCACGCTCCTGGTGTACCATCTCGCGGCGACAGCGGCCGAAGCTACGACAAAGCAGAAGAGGGGTGCAATAAGCAAAGCCAGTTGCTTTCCATTGATGATGTCAAAGCGATTGTCAGTGATTGAGCCTGCCATGATGACTACAAGGCAGCTTCTGTCCTCACAGCATAACGAGCGTTTTTCTGCGGAATCGTCGCGAAGGGGTTCAGTTGCAACTGGAGCCGGGGGTATAGTTATAGGCCCCCCACTGCGCGAGCGGCTTGACGCAGATAAAGCCAAATAAGGCGGCTTCCAGTGCCATGGTCCGGGCCAGGGCAGTGTCATGCACCATGCCCGTTGAGTTTACCTTCAACGCCTATCTGGCCGCATTCAGGGTGCTCTGACCCTGGTAGCCATGCGACATGGAGCTGTCGCTGGACGGGCTTTTCGGGATGCGAAGAAGGTTAGTGTGAGGATGTACGGCGCTGATTTGTTGCACAGCATGCGGGCCGACGCGGAACACGGCTAACCACGCCGCATGCCTGTCAGCCAAGCTTTACAGTAGCCAATCACATGCCCAAACGCCCCTGGCACCAACTCGTATCTCCGCTTCTGGGTGTGTGCCAGCGCTGACGGACGAGGATCCACCTGAACATGCGCACTAGAATGGCAAAAGAAATGTCTGTCTTGTGCTCTTCTGTGGGACTGGGCCGGGCCTCGAGTACTCTGGTCGTTTCACCACTACGCCTGATGACAGACAACAGACGTGCCCTCCTCATCTCTATACACATACCACACCCAAACGGAAAGTGTGTGTGTGTGTGTGTGTGTGTGTGTGCATCATGGTTACGGAGCTGCCGAAAACACTCGAGAGGCTAACAGTCATTCTCCTATCCACCATACCGCCCCAGGCCCAACGCCAGGCGCTGAAACAAGCCATTGTGTACATCGCCTTCCGATTCGGACACAATGAACATGGGTTCCCAACCGTAAGCGAAGTGGCGCCTCTCACATACAGCCCAGAACGCGGCCTCGAGTCAGGCTTGACCACACAGCTCTTTTCTTTTCAAGCCCTCATCTCTGCAACACGGCACGAGTGCGAGGTCCTCTCGTACCTCCTAGCTGCTCTCCCAATAGGACTCGACCACATTACTCCATACACACGTGGCAAGCACGTTCTGAGCGCCATCCTTCAACCTCGAGATCGCCCGTAACCTGGCAAATCTCCGACGTTATACCGTCTGCACCGAGTAGTTTCACCGAACATGCCCTCCTAAACCACTCTCTTCCCGGGGTACATACTTAGGGCCAGCCTTGCCATGCCTTACTATTGACTGCCTGTTTCTTCCCCGTCTTTTGCACATGTGCTTCGCTGTGTCTACTTTGCATACATGTATGATGCGCATATGCAGTCTCATGACGTTACACAAATGCCTCGGAGTCTCGTGTCCTTAACACCAGCACCCTCAGGTTTATCGTCTTTCACCGGTTAGAAACTCTCACCGCGGCCTTACCAGCTCGCTCACTTTCTTTTTCCATTTCCCGTAGATTTGCGTCACTCAAAAGTCTGTCCCCGACCATATCCCGGCCTTGTTCGAGACAGGGAAGTAGTCTCAAACGTGAATCTCTCGTAAAAGGGCTTTTGTCCGCTGATCTGCACCCTCTGATTGGCTTTGTTTGGTCGGGGGCTCACGTCTCTACCGACAGCCACTGTTCGCAACCATGTTCATAAGTCGATCCGCATTTTGAGCCTAGGATGCCGAGAGTCAGATACGGGTGGCGTGAGAATATACTTTTGATAGCTTCTCTCCCCTACCACCAAAGTTTGGCCGCGCTGATTTAGCTGTAAACGCAGGTCCCAGAATCGAATCGATAATCGCAAACCGATGCATGTGCAATGACGACTTTATCCGCTTCAAAACTGCAGTGATCGACTTGCTCGTCATTCCTAGCGAAGTGGTACTCAGGCGGGGCAGGAGGCGCGCGGACCGCCCGCCTCGAGACCCAAGGAAACTAGGAAAATGTCACTCCATACAAGGGTTCGTATAGGTCATTTTCGGTAGGAACTATTTCGGCGCAGCATCAGCTGCAACTAGAGGTGGGCTGGTCAAAACAATTTCATTTGTGTAATCACATGGCGAAGTGACCATCAACCCAGTTCTCAGGAGCGCACGGCTCGGTAGCATGGCACCCACGTCGTGGTACAACCCTGGAAAGACATCATGCAAGAGCAATGTGTGTGCATCTGATGTTGCACTGAAGGTCATTTTAGCTTACAACTACTTTTCTGACACTTCCAACTCTAGTGCAGATACCTATGGGAGCATCTTTGCTGAACAGTCAAAATAAAAAGTATTTTCACAATGGACTACACAATACTAGCTATCCAGACAGCTATACGAGTGAGATTATAGTGTAGCAAGTCTGCGCAGGGGTTGTGAGTTGTCTCCTTGCCTTCATGAGAAAATGTACACAGTAAGACTATTAACTCCAGTCGTGTACTGTAGCGGTGCGATTAGGTTTCCATTCTTTCACCTATAAATAATACTTACACAAAGACCTAACTATATTAACTATAACTACTAGGACATGGTATATAGAGCTGACAGCTTACAAGGCAAAATGAGACGGTGATACTAAGAACTTTTCCTTAACAAACTAGCTAATCGTTGCATCGACCACCTCCTGCACCCTCCTACCCACATCTGCCCCAAGCATCCCACG